GAGGCAAGACACAACAACCAAATATTTACATATTAAGCAAAAGGTGCGGGAGCTTTTATAGCATTTAGAGGTGTTGACGTGTACATTATTGACCACCTTATACTCATAGAGATGATATTCCAGTTTGATCAACGTCCTCTACAGCAAAGGGAACCTTACCCCCATACACAGCCTGTTTCACATAATTCTTTGTAAAATGCAAAAACCGGTAGCTTAGAAAATATATCTATTCGAAATTCCGTCAGAACGAGTCGTTGCACTCGTTTAACGTATTTGTTTTTTATTTTAAGCCGCTTTTCATACAGGTGCAGCCATAATGGAGAATGCAGCGCTCCTGGCGGCAAAACATGCAGTTGTACTATAATGTGTGAAAGTTATGATGTATTCCCGATTCTTTCATAACAAATTCTTTAAATTGTAAAGTTCATTTTTACCCACTGTTTCACAATTACATAAGTGTCTGTAGTAATGTCTGTTGTATTCTCATTTCCATGGAAAGCAAGTACAAACCTCGTTTACTAACGGCAGATTAAGAGAACAGCAACAATAAACACCCGTGTCTCCTTTGGAATTACAGTACCGACAGCTGGTAATATGCTATAGAACTTTGTGGGTTAGAGATAGGTACTATAAAAATTTTCCGTTGAATTTTCAGCAACGGGTCTGTCCGCCGCAATACGTAGACAAGTATGCCGCAACTGCTATTTGGCTCAGGTTATTACGTCACTCGCCCATCAACTACGGTGAAGCAGAAAACTTTGGTTTCCAGTAAGAAGATTCCCAAAACGAACACCGGCTGGCACTCCGACTGCCTTAACTGAGGGTACTCGTGATTCTCCACAGTCCCTCCAGACACATTTCCGCGTATGGTACCTCATGTTAGGTCACAACCACTTCTTTACGCATCCTTTGCAATCAGTGTTTACTTATCACACTACCATTCAACGCTATATAGTCTGAACATGTTGATAGTGTTGTTAAATAACCACAAATGAATTAATTAAGTTCTGAGAATTTAATCTTTTAGTAGCGTAGTTAGTTGAGGCACTATGCTACAAGCTGGAAGGTCGCGGGATCGATTACCGATGAGATCATTGGATTTTTTCCAATTTACTTAATTCTTCCAGCCCCACTATGGCCCTGGGGTCGACTCAGCCTCTAACAGAAATGAATACTAGGAATTTTCCTGGAGATAAAGGATTGCCGGGGCGTAAGTCTAACAACTTCGCCGCCATCTGTGAGCCGACTGTCTAGAAAATGTGGGAACCTCAACATCTCACAAACCTATGGGCCTACACAGCCTGTTACAGGGGGAGCTTTATTTAATTTACTTTTTACTTTACTCTTTTGTTAGCCTACTTACTAGTCTATGTGTCTGTGTATCCCCTCTATCAATTTCTGACTACCTGAACCATTCTTTACTAAATTTGGTATGTACATCATGGCACCTGGCATCATGGCAGACCCATTAGTCTGCATCTCTGTGTACCCCGCTTTAGTTGCTAGGCAACTGCTGCTTAAAAATGTTACCGCGGCAACGAATACACACACAACAATAAAATAATTTTTGGACTGGTCTTTTGTATGTACCAAGGAAAGTAGGAGATTAATTCTCCACATAACTTCTTGTTAAGTTTGTTATTTTAACGACGCTGTCGTCAGTATCGACAAAATACAGCGCCTGGAATTGTAGGTGTCCTGCTTACTGCTCGCTTTTCACTCAAGTACGATAACACAGTACACGAGTAGAAATTGTCTGTGCCTTGCACAATTTTAATTACATCCCTTTTCTATTAACCTCTTTCACAATTCCTAGCTTTGGTACCACACATTCTGTGTGCATTCCCGTTATATCATCATCTTCAGCCGAGACTGTTACGTTGATTTAACTTTTTACTTACATTACAACTCGAATTGAATGTTGTCCTTTCCATTCCGTAGCGACCTACGCCGGTAAGAGAAGCAGTGGTACAGGTAATTCAGTAATTGTGAACATACATTAAACCACTAAGGGAACTCGCCGAATGACCCATGAGGGTTGAGAGAGCAAAGAAAGTACAGCAGCAAAACTAACTCAACACAAAAACAACGAAAACTTTATGACGTTACAGATAAAATGGCCAAATGCTGCCCATTACTCTCTGCTAAAATTTCTTTTTGTGGTCACATAACAGAGGAACACACAAAAAAAGGTTAACTGCTCTTACAGTGTAGAGCTTAGCCTATACGTATACCGACTATATCCAAAGAAAAAAGAATAAAATTGCTTGTATAATGGTCCGTGGAATTTTTCCAAGTTGGTTTATATAGCTTTACATCGACTTTATGTATTAAATGTAGTAACTACGGACAACGTTTTGATAGGTCATATACTAAGTTTACTGTTCTACATAGCTTTCATTTAAATACATATGTAAACTAAAGTGCTCCTCAGTTTAGTATCATGGCGATCCTACTGCTCACTAGGTAAGGTAAGGTAAGGTAAGGTAATATTACTCTTGTAAGAGGACATGAAGGCCATAGACGGTTGTGAGACGTCGAGGCTCCCACATTTTCTAGATATTCAGCTCACGGATGGCGGTGAATTTGTCAGCCTTACGCGCCGGCACTTTACCCCCACAGGAAGATTCCTGGTACTCATTTCTGTTAGAAGCTGATTCGATCCCAGGGCCATAGTGCAGCTGGAAGATTTAGGTGAACTGAAAAATCCACCTTATATGGACTCGAAACCGCGACCTTCCTGCTTGTAGCATAGTGCCTCAACCAACTATGCTAACTGCTCACTAACCAAATCTAAAAGCGAAAGTATTGGTTTCCTTGTCGAAGGCCTTGTACTCAGTATCCGTGAACCATAAAGCAAGGATGGGAAGAAAGTCGTTGATCTTAAAAACAGTACGAGTAACTATTTGCACTCTGGCTGGGCCCACTTCTTGTTCCAAAGAGAAGCAGCTTCTCCTTCACAGTCACAAATGTGTTCTCGTACACAAACCAAAGTTTAAATGTAAGTAGCTTATCATCGGGACTGTTAGCATAGCGATAACTCTCTAGTCTATTATTCAATAGGTACTTGCTTCAGATCTCGTCTGTGACGCCTGATGTTCTCATTCTGTTTCTGTTTCTGTCGTTAGTAACTGCTGCGATACTACTACGGTCATGTTACGGCCGCTCCTTGCAAAGGCATATCAGTGCTTTATTCACCAATCTTCTCATTCGACGCTGTAAACTCTTAGATACTGAAAACGTCGTAAGAGCGCCAGGAAAATATTTTATTCGTCGAATCTTATGTTTTAAGGCCGCACCATAGCTCAAGCGGTTAGTAGCTGGCTTCTCACGGCGGCGGCCCAGGTTCGATCACAGGTCTGGTCAAGTGGGATTTGTGATGGACAAAGTGGCGCTGGGCCAGGTTTTCTCCGAGTATTTCGGTTTCTCCTGCCAATCTTCATTCCACCAAATTCTCCATTATCATAATCACCCGGATCATGCTACAATAGGCCAATCAGTGGCCACCGTGCCGAGTGGACCCAGTTGGACTCCACGCCCACTAAGCGAATTAAAAAAAAAATCTTACGTTTTAAAGTCGCTGCTTCAGATGCAGAGGTTACAAATGTCTAAATTTGTTGACAATGAATGTCTGAGAGATATTATCAAGCACAAATGTGTTTTATGATGGTTCTCTGTGATTTCCTCGGTAAATGCATGTAAATGACAACATTCTACCTCAAATTAAGTCACGACATTTTCCGTCCATACTACTACATATTCATTATGCACTATGATCGAGTCATTCGATGCTATACAGTGAAAGTTACTGAGAAAAGTAAAGAAAAATAAAGCTATACCTGTAACAGGCCGTGGAGGCCCATAAGGTTGTGAGATGTTGAGGCTCCGAGATTTCTCTAGACAATCGGCTCACAGATGGTGGTGTGGTTGTCAGCCTTACACGACGGCCACCCTTTACCCCAGGAAGAGTCCTGGTACTCATTTGTTAGAGGCTGAGTCGACCCCAGGGCCATAGTGCGGCTGGAATGATTTTGGTCAATTGAAAAGTCCACCTCATCTGGATTCAATCCCGCGACCTTCTGGCTTGTAGCATAGTGCCTCAATCAACTACGCTACCGCGTGCACCCGAGAGTTACTGATAGAAGTGTAAAATAATTTACAAAGAAATATTGTTAAAGTACTCACTACAATTTGACTGAGGCTTAAAATAAATTGGGATCATTTCTTAATAATATCTTTATTAGATAATAGTTTAAATATGTAACAAAATTTATCTTAATATTAAACAATACACACATTTTGAATTATAGTTCCCTGTGAGAATAATAGTTTGGTCACATATAAGTTAATATATAAATTAATAATTTATTTATTATAATAAAAGATGCATAGAATCAATTAATCTATTTACCATCTCATTAAGAAAGGAATGTGACTTTACGTTATATTTCTCACCAGTTGGGAGCAGTCAGTTTTCCTCATCAGGAGCGGAATTAAATTTTTTTTAAACTGATTTACATTGGCTACTATCTTGTGTGACGCTCTATTCGTTAGGACATCAGCAATCTTATTATATTTCCTTGTAACGTATTGGTCTAGCTATAATTAGGTACAATATATAACCAATTATCTTTTGTTTCACAATTGTCAACACAATATGTTTACACGAGCGCTTTGATCTACACAATATCAACGTCGATGTCATACATTTTGATTCGGATAAATTTTATATATAATCGTACTTAGTGGATATAACCAAAATGGCACTGATACATTACAATTGAAATCATACATAATGACACTGATGAAGATTTCATGTAGCCCGAAACACATAGGCCAAGATACTGTGCTGACAAATCTGTGCTAGAAGTTAAGCGGTTATGTACTGTGAATACCAGATGCTTATGACCACGGCGAGACAAATACAGACACATTTAGATTCCATATGTATATTGGGATATATCTGTGTGTAGACTCTTGAGATCCAACATTGAGGTAGCTCAGTAATAGCCGTACCCACCGCCATACCCTCCGCCATACCCTCCGACACCACCGTAACCACTGCTATGGCCATAAGAAGATCCTTCCTTATGACCAGCCTTTTTGCCATAATCTTCGTGATTATCGTGATATCCTTTATAACCTTCTTCACCTTTATGTCCCTTTTCTTCGCCGTAGTGCTGTCCCTTCTCGAACTGTCCCTTCTTTCCATGTTCACCTTCATTATAAGCGGCATCAATATGGCCTCCCTTCTCGTGACCTCCCTTAGAAGCTGATTGTTGTTCTTCGTACCCGCCATATTTGTTTTCATGCCCACTCTTGTTAGCGTCATCGTAAAAGGAATGCTCCTTCTTGAATTCGTCTTTGTGATAGACGTTGTGGTAACCAGTAGTTTTATGTCCCTTCTTGTGACTGCCTTTCTGACCATAACTTGTTCCCTTGTAGCCTTTGGCCCCTTGATGATGTTCTCCATATTGTTCCGCTTGGTCGTGGTGACCTTTCTTCTGACCTGCCGCGTCGCTGTAATAACCTTTCTGTTCCTCACTGCCCTTCTTCGCAGCATCGCCCTTGTCATAAGCCTCATATACCTTATACCCCTTTTCTCCTTTCTGTCCACCGCTTGATTCGTGACCAGCTTTGTACTCGTCACCTCCACCCTTCTTGAAGTCTTCCTCTTTGTAACTTCCTCCCTGTTCACCACCACCGGATCCTTGAGAATAACCACCGCCTTGGCTAACTCCACCTCCGATGTATTTGGCCCCAAGTCCTCCAAGACCTCCTCCATAATAATGTCCAAGTCCATATCCTCCACCAATTCCTGAGCCAAGGGAGCCGTAAGAACTGCCGAGGTGTCCTAGACCGATTCCTCCGGTACCACCAATATGTCTATACGAAGACCCTATATGACCTAGCCCGGACCCGTATCCCAGCCCTGCACCCCCTACAAGTCCAGGGTAATGGTAATATCCTCCACCGGCACCTCCTAGACCGCCCAAGTAATAAGCACTAGGAGAAGCTTCGTTTTCTTCTTCACTGAGCTGAACGTAGCTGGCAGGTTCAGATCCCTCACTCAGATGAACGTAGCTGGATGGACTCTTACCATCACTCCTATAGACGTAGCCTGTGGCAGAACTCTCCAGATCTGACGAAGCAGCCCGTGCCATGAACATCTTCCCGTGAATCTTCTGTTTCATATCGTTGATAGGGTCCGCTACTGACACTACGTCTTCAGACGTTTCGACTACAAGATCTGACGCGTTGCAACTCACAACTTGAATCAGAAGACACAGTGCTCCAGAAAATGTGATGACACTCCGAATTCTTGCCATCTTTTTTAACACTTTCTATATAAACCACAATTTTTTAGCAGACACCACACTGGACTGTGATAGAAACAGACGCCGATGCCGAAGGCTGAACACTGAATACTTTAATAGCCCTCCATCTTGCTTTTATATGCATCTGTATCATAAATTAAAACTCCCTCTACATGAGTGAAATTTAACGCTTGGTTGACTTGTTAACCTTATTTCATTGTAAAGTTCGGAACTGGTAATGTAACATTAACATTCTTTGTGAGGGAAAATGTTTCATGTTGTGCAAATTTGTGTTGGTATTTCGGTCGCCTGTACGTCGCCCCACCTACTGCGCCGTACCCTTCAACCTGGAGGACAATAGTAAGCGAGACTAAAGACCATTTCCCCGTCCCGCGTTAGCCTGCATATCTTGCAACAGCCAAACGCTGAATCATACCACGAACATGTTAAATTATTTGATATTATTTTACAAAATGCAACGTAATTCCGTCGATTGTCATGTGTCACTCATAGAATGCTTGCCTGGCCTTACCGGAAAGAAAGCGTGAAAGGGTGGAATGTGCTAGCATGTGTGATCCAGTATGTGCCGTATGTTTCAAAGCATAAATGGTTCAAGTACAGAAATTCATGCTTGAGAAGTTCTATCTTCTGACATACAACGTTGTGTAGTGTATCAAAATTCAACTGACATTTCGGAGGAACAATTCGCATCTATCATCAGAACCGAAGCATTAACCAAGCATGAAAATAATGAGCGAAAGCAGGTTGACTTTTCAACGGACTGTACGAATTTATATCCCAGAAGATAGAATTCATAACCACTGCTGTGAGAACCTCAAATCCTACAAATTTTTGCTCTGTCTCACAGATGATCTTTAATTAGTACTCTCCAACATCAAAACACTGAAGGGCCGAATTATATCTTAGATGTCTACACTAGAGCTACATTATTAAAAATGGTTTATCCAGTAGGTTAATGCTCGCATAAACATGTGTCTTTCAATAATCATATCTGTGAGAAGTAAACACATGGACAAGAACTGGAGTCATGAAATTCAGAATCATTTACTGAAATATTAGCAGGTCATCCAGCCATTTTTTTTTCCTTGGCACTACAGCCCCAGTGGGCCTAGGCCTACCTCCATGAACTTCTCCGTTCACTTCGGTTTTTCTAGATCTTACACATTCGGTAGGACTCCTTGGGCGGGTGATCAGCTCGTCGCAAGGCCTCTACCTGTACACAAACACAGAAAAACGCACACGCACAAACTAAACATCCATGCCCTGAGTGGGATTCGAACCCACCGACCGAGCGAAGACAGTACATGCCTTAGACCGCTCGGCTACCGTGACCCATCCAGCCAATAGTAACACAAAATATTGATTCAGGCATAGATTGGATGATAACATTAATATTGATCTTAAGGAAATAGAGACTGAGCCTTCCCTTACTCCCTCCAGGAAAGTGCCGTGGTAGTGCGTCAATTAGACCACGCTTTCTTTTTTCCAAATTCCTTCCAATTCGTCATTCATTTATCATCGCATCAGTAGACGCCGGAGATAATATCATAGTCTCTAAAAAATTAAAGAAAGACAGTTGAACCAGATGGACTCGATTCGTGGCTCAGTATGCTGTGTGCTCTCATGAACATAGCAAACCTTCGGGATCCTTAAACATGGGAACCATCTAAATGTCTAGCAAAGTTTAAATTTGTTGGATTTTTCAGTATGCAATTGTCCTGCACAGTGCAGCCACAATAATCAGGGATAATTAAAGCACTGGTGCGTCCGAAATGTCGAGTTGTTGTGATTACTGGATTTCAAATCAATAATATGAATATTATAGTAAAACTACTTATTGAACTGTGAGAGGACCGAAATAACGGCCGTGGGGATTCGTTACGCTGACCACGTGACACCTTCTGTCCACTAAAAGTTGGCACTAATTTCGCCGGCAAGCGGCAGTCGCTGCTCTGGTCTGGTCTGTATAATTGGCTTGCGGACTAAAACCATGGAGTTAAATATTTTGCATATCAACAACGATCGAAATCCGCGGACATTCGACCACACGCCGGGCTGGGGCAGGCGGTAACCGCGTTACATCCTTTCGCCTCTCAGAAAGGCAGGTCCACAAGAAATCATTATTGTCGCAAAGGCATAAAGTAAATATTAAATTTGTATTTTTGGAGGTTACGATTTATTTCTTTGTGGCAGTCTTAGTCCGGGTAAGGAGCAGGGATATCTCAGTCGGTATAGCGACTGGCTGCTGTCTGGACGACTGAGGGGTCGGAGTTCGAGTCCCGGTAGAGTCAAGAATTTTCTCTTCCCCACGTCGTCTAGACTGGCTGTGGGGCTCACACAGACTCCTATCGAATGTGTACCGGGGGTTCTTTCCTCGGGGGTAAAGCAATCGGGGCATGAAGCTGACAACTTAACTCCAACTAATGCCGAGGTCAAAAAGACGTGGATCTATACATCCACTCCCCCATACGTTCTCACGGCATAGTGCTTAATTAGTTAAGCAAAGGGACAATTTTACCGTTTACTTTCAGTCCGGGTGTCTGGAAGTTCGGATTAATGCCGGCTCGCACTGCCGAAGTTCCACTGCACTCCTTACTAACAGCGTGTATATACTAAGTTGGGTGTGACTCCGTATAATCCGATACAATTTTCACCGATGTTTCGGAGGAATATACTGACTCGATCTTAGGGTCGAAGAGGAAACTAAGCAAGCATCTAGAAACTAACAAGCAATAAATACTCGTACATTATAACGCTGCCAAATTTCTTGTTGATCTGATCTGTTTTCTTTTGCTCTTTTGGAATTATAACTAACTAAACTAATTTCATGGAGCTGAGCCCTTCTTGAGAAGCCACCAATTGTGCAGCTACTCAAGAATATCCCAGCATTTTATGGAACCCTTAGGTTCACTACCGTATTCACAAGAGCCCTGCACTGGTCCTTATCCTTATCCTTATCCTCAAGGTGAAATAGAAGGTAAAGGTGTCCTTGCGCTTAATTAATTAAGCACTATGCCATGAAGACATATGTGAGAATGGAGTTACAGCTCCACCACTCTTGGCCTCGGCTCTAGTTGAAGGTACGTAACTAAGAGAACGCTCGTGTAAACAAAACTATCGGAGAGAAATACGCGACGTTACAACCTACATCGCTCTGCTTACTGCTTCTTTATTGGAGATTAATTTGCACGATGTACTCTTCATTCCTGAAGATGGAAAAGTACGTTCCTCGTAACTTCGATGAACTCCTACCGGGCTATGGGGTGTCACATTCCAAAAGACGGTCATTGCTCTGGAAACCCAAAATTCAATTCAGTAGGTACATGTGCGGCATGATACTGCAACGGAAATATCAGAAGCTTCGCGAAGAATTTATTGGCCTGTTTCTTTGCTCGCGATCACAGAAACCAGCAATATATGATCGTCAGTGTACACGCTAGAGACCTATTCATTTTTCGCAGTCATAAAACATTATTTCAGCTCTTACCGAATTACATATCCACACTTCCCACATAGAAACCATTAAGTTTTAAAGAGTTCATAACGTCAGGCACAAAAATTATTAAATTCAGATTTTCAGTAATCTAACTCACATACAGCACAGTCGGGATAGCGACTGGCTACGGGCAGGACGACCGAGGGGTCACAGTTCGAGTCCCAGTGGGGGAAGTATATTCACTTTACCACGTCATTCAGACCGGGGCCCACCCAGCCTCCTATCCAATGGGTCCCGGAGTCTCTTTCTACGCAGGTAAATCGGCCGGAGCGTGAAGCTGAACACTCACCTCCATCAAGTGCAGAGGTCAAGAAAATATGGATCCATACGTCAACTCCCCCATACGCCTCCATGGCTTAGTGCTTAATTACTTAAACGTAGGAACGAATTTTTAATTTTATCTAATTAACATACAAAATTTCATCTGCTAATGAATCATTGTGATGAAGCACATAAATTTATTATAAAATTTATATCACCCCGATCTGAATGGTTCTGAAAAGCATTCTCATGCTAGTATCGCGATTTCGAATCCTGCTCGGGGCACCATTTAAGTCCAATATGACAATCCCTTCCTGATCGAGTAGCACTGCCTGGTATCTAAGGGTTCCAGAACTAACTCGTAATCAGAACATGTCAGTAGGCCAAAGAGAGCTGAAGGAGCAGAAGATAATCAGGATTAACAAGAAGTTCTGGGAAGAACTAATCGCCTACTTTGCTTTGATACTACACGGGTCGCATAGAAAACAAAAACTCAAAAGTAGACACACAGACAGCAAAGTGTTTTCCTAGGGGGGGCTAAAAAGAGTAACAGCAAGGTGATTTCGTAATCCAAAAAAAGGGGACACAGATAGACGGACAGACACAGACACAGACAAATGAACATACAGAGAGCAAGGTGATCTCATAAGCCTTATTTTATTTTATTTTTTTCAAAGTAAGGAGACAGCTTGAAAACGAAATAAGTCTTTGGCCGCAATTTACTGCTTAAACTTGCGACCGATTGATCAATAAACCTTTTTCGTATTCGGGAGATTCATGTTTTAAATCTCTTCTCTGAAACAAGTTATCCCGATTTTCCTCAGTCCCTCCAGTCAAATGTTAGAATAGTGCCTTTAATTAGGCTATGGTCGTTTCCGCGTCATTTACAGTTCATATTCATTAATCATCCTAGTGTTCGCCGTACTATAAGCTAATTAAAGCGTCGTTAAATAAGCAATAAATAAACCCACAAAATTATAGGTTATTGTTTTACTTATCTGAAACTTCCAGACGGTTGTTCTTGAAGGCAAGGTTTAACAAATTTCGAAAGCGGTATGATCTGCAGAGGTTGATTACAATTTTCATACGAACCTTGAAGTGATCTGGAAGTTGTTGGTTTGGTATGAACAGACATAAAGTCAGGAGTATATCATACTGTCACGTGTATGGGGGTGTGGGTTACTCGTAGAGGGGGGTATGGGTTGATGGTCAGATTTATTGCACACTTATACAA